TTAGGGTCTAGGGTATAGGGGTTTAGGGTTTCGGGTTTAGGGTGTAAAATATAGTAGTATAGTATACTTGCTAATAGAAGGGCTACAAGAGAAAGCTGTTACCCCAGACCCCAAACCCTACACCCTACAACCCTAAACCCTAAGCCAAAAAAAAAACAACAAAACCCTAAACCCCAACACAGTTACCACAAGTAATGACGCCTTTTCCCGAGACCCATGTCCAATTCAGTAACCACAAAAGTTCCCCCGATGCAAGTCTCCCGGACCAGCGCTTGGGTCGCCTCCGCCTGGGAAGCCCATCTCCCACGCAGGTCCGCAAGCACCGGGAGGGAACGCTTCAAGGAGATGCCTGGCGGGGATTCTTTAGGTTTTAGGGTTTAGGGGTTTAGGCGTCATTAAGGTTTAGGGTAGGGGGGTTTAGGATTTAGAGCGGATGGAGGTTTAGGGTTTCGGGCTCGGCTATGACGAGTGGTAAGGACCCTTTAACGAAGCTACCCTCCGTCCTTCTGTCTGCGGCTTAAGGTTTACACGCGCTTCACACCTCTCACAAAGGAGGAGGAGAACAGAGAGGCGCCTGCATCTATGGGAATGGCAGTATGCAAAGCCGCCAGGCTCACGGCACTTGCAAAAGACCAGGGCTCTGAGGAATTCACTAGGACTCGGCCAGAAACTGCCCCGGCCGTGACGGCAGCCTCCAGCAAGTCAGGCCACTCGGCTTCCTGGAACTTCACCTGGGCTCTTCTTAGGGGACTTAAATTAAGCTACCATTATAAGGAAACCATATTATTTACTATAGATCCCTATTATTAATAATGGTAACTTAAATAAAATCCCCCAAGAACCCAGTCACCTCTTTCAAGCTCGGCTCCATGGCGATCGCTGTTTTGAACCAGTCGGCATCTGCTGGCATCTTGCGAAGGAAGACGGCCGGACGACCCAACTTCTTGTTCAAGAGCCCCTGAAGGGCGGCCACGGTCATCCCCAGCGGTGGAGGCGGCATGTCCAGAACAAAGCCTCGATATGGGCCCCTTCTAGTTTCCCCGAATATGACCCTGTAGGCCCAAGAGTATCCCGCATAGTTCCCCTGATGGTATCCCTTAGACGAACCCTTGTAGCGCCCCTTGTAGTATCCCTCACAGAAACCCTCATAGAACCCTTTAAAGGAATCCTGGAAGCCTCTTAAAGGAAGCCTTAACAAGGAACCCTTCCTAAAACCCTTAATCCCATCCCCAAACCCCTACATCCCTAAACCCCAAACCCCCAAACCCCTAAACCCCTAAACCCTAAACCCCTTAACCCAAGCCTCCATTCTCCTTGTCAGAACCCTGTGCGCCCAGCGCCAAACCGAGGAGGCCAAGGGCGCTGAAGAGGCCCAGAACAGCCGCCATGGCCGTTAAGGTTTAGGGTTTAGGGTTCAGGGTTTAGGGTTTAGGGCCGATTGCACCGCACTCAAATGAAGCAAATCATAGACCATACTAGGCTATACTATACCATACTATAATCTACCATAATAGTATATAGACTATACTTTACCATACTGTAGTCTACCATAATACTGTAGAATACCATAAAAATACTATCATAGAATATCATATACTATCATGAACTACAATAGACGATAATAGACTGTAACATACCAAAGTACACTATACTGTATGACCCACGATATAGCAGAATATACTATAATCTAAATGTACATACAACCATAAACTATCTATGTACTGTTGCTGCAACGTGCAAGAACCTGTGCGTAC